TTGAAACTAAATGAGTGCAACGGCTTTTAATGCTGAATGAATGTCGTGGAGAATATATAGAATTGGAATTTGCTCATAAAATTTTGTTAACTATTTCTAAATGGTAATTCCAACATTAGTCAATCTCTGAGCTGACCCATTGAAATTAATAGGCATTAACTTAGGTACATTTCAATACAAGCAGCAGACATTTGTTTTGGAAACTTAAAAGATATGATAATACCTATGGAGAGAAGAAGCTTGCTTGAGCTGACAAAATTATGTAAATCTAAGGGCTATATAACATTCTTTATTTATACTGATTTAATTTTCTGCAACATTTCTTGTCTCCTTTTTCCTACAAGTATTTATGTTCTTTTCTTGTTTTTCCCTTCCCCCCACTATATACCTTTCAGAGACAGTCTCTTGTCTTTATCATTTTCTTGCCTTGTGGTACCACTCAATGTGTTCCACTTTTCCTATATAGTATTTCCCCATATTCTAGTTTTATGGTTAAACAATTACAGAGTTTGCTCCCTTGAATCTGTGTTTCACCTGCCAATTAAAAATTAACATGTGCTAATAAATCCTGTTCCCCAAACCTGTCCTTTGTACCTCTGACAAATGATATTTTCTGATTATTTACCTACTTTGAAATTATTATTGTTATTTCATAGAATCATTTATGTGTTTATTATTCAACACTTAAATCATTAGTTTCTATGTTATACCTAAGGGCCCAAATTATCAGCCTGCAGATCATTAAAAGAAAACAAGACTATAAAATCTGATTGTTAAGTTGAACAGGAACTCAAAATAGATTGAATTCTATTGGATCATTGTTTGATTAATATCTGATACACGTGATATCGCTGTCAGGCCTCTCTTAACCATTTTTAATTACTAGCCACTTTTAATTGCTAAAGTCAGTGCACTCTTATTTAAAACACACACATCATCTCCCCTCCTCACTGCTGCACCCTAGATATTGCATCATTTTGCATTTTCTGGTACAACAGTGAGAGAAAAGCCTCATTTCCCTTTCTGACCAAGATTCTGAAACCCTCCAAAATAACCCCACCACTTAAAATAACATGTATAGGAATTTTAAATACTTCAAATGTAAAATTCTTTATGTTTGCTGCTTCTCAGATATGCCAACAATATTTTTTTTTGTATTTGTTTCAAAGTTGAGAAATGAAAACTTCTAGAAACCAATTGCAGGATTATTTTGTGATGCACTTATTTCCTCTCCCATTCTGTTGTAAACATTATGGCATAAGATGCAGTGAAACCTTTCATTATATGCTTGAAATCAAAATCTGCAGGCACAGGACAGTTAGGAGTTAGATTTGCTAGCTATCTCAGTCCCCCTAGTACGCAGGGTTGGCCTTAGTATCAGGCAAAGTGAGGCAGCAACCTCAGGCTCAGATGTTGAGAGCGGCTGCAGACTGTTCCTGATGTCCCTCTTGAGCTCTGGGCCCCAGTACAAGCAGAGCTTGCTTCTTGCTGGCCTTAATGTCTACCCTGAGGCCCTTAAACTAGCCTGTTTTCCTCAGGTGTGGTGGAGAACCCTGTCCTACCACCTGTGTAAGATTCAGCTGCCAGTCAGGAGGGGTGTTCTGTACCTGGAATGGGGAGTCAACAAAACGTCCTGAATCAGCCCCAGTGGTATGCAGTCGCAGGCACTCCCTGTCAAATTGCAGTGGATGGTGAAGGCTTGAGTGTATTTATTTCTGCAGTGAGGATTGCTGGTTCCTAAGTCTGAGCTGGTGCTCAGTATTCCTCACTCAGAACATTAGAAATAAGAATTCACTATTGCAAGTTTGCGCTTTGAAAATATTTTAACTGCTGGGTCAAGATAAAGGCAATTTGGAGATGAGTTAAGCCCCAAGGATAAAAAATTTACTCCTAGACTTCCACAGGCTCCCTGCAGTGGTTTGTAGTGGTTTTGTTGTTGGTTTTTGTATACACAGGAAGGTATTGGGGGGCGGGGGCAGAAACCGAACTTCCAATAGAGGCAAAATGCTAAGGTGTTTTGTACCCTAGCTTTGACATTTCGGTAGGAATAGAATGGGCCCAATTAGGCACTTGATAGTTTCTCTTTCCCATTTGTTTCAATAGGGATAAGTTGGGATTGCTTAGTAAGTTAAATTTTCATTTTTAGAAAAGAAGGAAGGAAGGAAGGAAGGAAGGAAGGAAGGAAGGAGACAACTAACCCTATAATTGTTGGGATATTTGGAGTATAAAGGAGTTTTGGTTTGCTGAAAGGGTTTTTCCAATATTGCGAACAACTGCTGTGGTCCCGAACAACCACATTGGCATGGGAGGCTTAAATGGTCTAATTCTGTGGTGTTGAGATATCTTTCTCAACTGAGAAGCCAGGCTGCCAAAGCATTAGAAAAAATACTCAAAATTTATCATTACTAACTACTAAACATTATAATTCTTCATGTTTATTATTATTTTTCCCCCTTATAGGTGCCACAGCCGCAGCTCGGAAAGAAGTTATAAGGAACAAGATCCGGGCAATAGGCAAAATGGCTCGAGTATTCTCTGTGCTGAGGTATGACTTCTTTGCTACTGTTTATTATAAGGATGACAAGGTGGTTTAAAATGCTGCTTCTCTGTTGAGGCACTCGCCATTTGAAAGCTTTGTTTTTAATTCCCTCAAACTGGTTCTGTTTCATCCAGAATGTAGGCTGGATCATCATCATCATCATCACTTTTAATTTGTATACCGTCTTTCTATCTTACAATACCCAAGGCAGTTTACAAGCTGAAGAAACAATCTAATGCAATACAAAAATGTGATCATAAAACATAACTTTAAAATACGCAACCTACATCAAATAAAGTAACATTCAACATCCAGAGAAAACTGCTAGATGGACCAGTGATCTGAATTGGTATAAGGCAAATTTCAATGTTCCTATGTCTCTAAATTTGGCCTTCCTCCCTACTGCTTTGCAGCCAGCCATTCAGGAGCAACCAGGATTTCCAAGCTCATGCCAAACCACCAAACATCTAATGCTGTCATAAATCACAAAGAAGATGGAATCATTGGGTTCCAAGCCACAGCACACAATGGAAATTCCAAATGGTTATAATCCTCATCAGAATATAGCCATGTGAGCTCATGCAAAGTATGCATACCTGGCAAATTCATTAAAATGCAAATACATCAGGTTGTTGATATCTCGACAATATAAGCCTGCATGGCTATCAAAGATGTGCCAACAAGGTGTTAAATAAGAATAAATTGGAATTTTAATCTTAATAGCAGGCCTCTGCCAAGGAAGTCTGCATTAAAATGATGCAGTCAGGAATATGTGTTTCTCATGACTTTGCTACTCCTTATCCCAGTATAGTCATACCTTGGTTGTTGAACGGAATCCATTCCGGAAGTCCATTCGACATTTGAAAACCAAGGCGCGGCTTCCGATTGGCTGCAGGAACTTCCTGCACGCAATCAGAAGCCACATCGGACATTCAGCTTCCAAAGAACGTTCACAAACCGGAACAGTCACTTCTGAGTTTGCGGCGTTCAGGAGCCAAAACATTCAAGTCGCAAGGCGTTTGGGATCCAAGGTATGGCTGTATTAGAAATAGGAGGTAGGGGACCAGTTGTTTTATTTATTATATATGCATCCTGCCTTTTAGGCCTAAATTTGCATCCAAAGTGGCTGACAGCAGTACAAAAAAATCCAATACATAGCAACATAAGTGGCATCCAACTAAATAATTGCACACAGTGGACAACCTCCACTTGTACAACATGACTTTTTGTCCTCTGTGCTTGCTGCGCCATCCTCACATCTGCTCCAGGGGGTTAGGGAACAGCCATAACAGATTTAGTGGGCACATGGAGGGGAAGGCAGTCCTATTCCACAAGTGGAAGTTGTTCTGCTCGTACAAGGATTTAAGAAGATAAGATCCAGGTGGAACAGGCCAGTGTCCCACCTAGTCCAGCATCCTCTTCTCACAGTGGCCAACCGGATGCCTGTAGGAAACCAGCAATCAAAACAGGAGCACAAGAGCACTCTCCCCTCCTGTGGTTTCCAGCAACTGGTATTCAGAGGCATTGCTGTTTGCAGCTGTGGAAGCAGAGCCTGGACATCGTTGCTAGTAGCCACCAGAAGCCCTCTTCTCCATGAAGTTGTCTCATCCTCTTTTAAAGCCATCTAGGTTGGTGGCCATCACTGTCTCCTGTGAGAGTCGGTTCCATACTTTAACTTTGCGCTGTTGTGAAAAGTACTTCCTTTTATCTGTCCTGAGTTACTTAGTGCTGCTTTGGATACAATTCATGTATTCTAAAAATGTAACAAGGGTATGGTCTGTGGCCACATGAGCTTTAGATTTGCTAAAAGATAGCGGTTCTGGGTCTGGTCAGTGCCTGGATGGGTGGCTGCCTGGGAACCACATGCACTCCACCTTAGGTTCCATGACAAAATAAAAGTGGGATATAAATGAATAAAGATGTTACCAGAGGGAAGGGAAGGGTGTCCCTCAGCTGGAGCTGGATCTAGAAACAATGAGGAAGTGCTTAGCTCTTCCCTTCTCTTCTTTCTGACCACCTAAGTTGCTGGCTGCAATTGACATTGCTTCATCCTATTTCTACCAGGGAAGAGAGTGAGAGCGTGCTGACACTGAAAGGGTTGACCCCAACCGGAATGCTGCCCAGTGGGGTGCTCTCTGGAGGAAAACAAACTCTGCAAAGCGGTAAGCATGTTTGTGAATGTGTGCTATGGTGTACATAAATTCAGCTGCTAAAGCACAGAATTCCTTTCCGCTATATAAATGCAGTCTCTTCAAGAAGAGAGAGAGAGAGACCACAGAGTGACTAGAAGCTGGCTCACAAAATTTGGCTGAAAAACCAAACTAAATAAATGCACGCAACTCCTGTTTGCAATACCTGGCAATATTTAAAGGGAGGGGGTGACTCTGGATATATAGGGGAGAGTTACACATATGATGGGCAAAATCATCTCTGCTATTTTTCTGGGATAGTGCTGCCTCATGTGTAGGTAAAGACTCATCTAAATGACTGGGGTTTGTGTGTGTGTGTGTGTGTGTGTGTGTGTGTGTGTATATATATATATACACACACACACACACACACACACACACACACATACACAGCCAAGCTGCTCCCTGACCCCACTCATTTAGGATGGGTTAAACCACATTTAGTGGAGATCCATGCATAAGCCTTTGGCATTGGCATGAGGAACTTAATTGAGGCTTGCACCAGCTTACTGTGATAGCTTAAAAACATATCTATCTTGGTTCTGGCAGCTTAACTTTACAAAAGCCGGGGCATATCCACTGCATGTGAATAGGTTTTCCTTCTTGCATAGTTCTCAAACCACTTCCCTTAGAAGTATTACAAGTAGTCCCCATCCACAACATATTCAGGCAAAAGCTGGGATCCCGTGAAAGTAGGTGGTACCAGTGACATTTGTATTTCCCAGTTTGCCCCCACCTATTATTATTATTATTATTATTATTATTATTAATGGAGGGAGGGCCTGGCATGGACAGAAATGTAATGCCCCATGTTTGCCAGTGCATCCACCATTTTAACTTATCATCAATGCAACTCCCAAAGAGTCTTTCACAGGAACTACATTATGGGGTGATTTAAATGGCAGAAATGTGAACAAGTCAGCTGCAGGGCAGGTCCTGTGCTGAATTCATGCATCTGGACCCACCAGTGCAGCAACCGCTTTCGTTTCCTCATAATGCAGTGAGCCCAGTGCTTTATTCAGGTTTCCTCTGCTGCCGTTGGGCCTCCCACCTTAGCCTGCAGTCAGGTAGGCCAGGCACCATTGCAGGGAGGGGCCTGCTGCTGGTACATCATTCATTATACTGTATCACAAGCAGAATACTGGAGCAAGCCAGGGAGCATAATGCCAAGCAGGCAATGCCAGGCAGTAGCTAAAGCTCCAAGTAAGTGACCTGAGCTTCCCCTCCCAAGACATGTCTGCCTCCCCACCTGCTCCAGAGACCCAGGCAACCTGAATCCAAATACAGTGGATCAGGCTTGGAGTGAAACTCATCTGCCCTGTCTAACGTCTTAGTTGACAGCTTCTAAAGGCCATGGATAAAGAGGGTGGGAAGAAGGTTCTCTGCTTGAGAATCCCATCTTTCAAAGCTTGCGAAGGCTTTCTTTCCCATCCATTGTGCTTGCAAGCATGCAAGTCTGCTTTTCAGTGTATGGAAGCAACTTCCTGAACATGACCTCTCTCCCTTTACAAAAATGGCAGACACTGCGTATGTGGAAAAACTGCAAATTATTGGCCAACATGCTAATCCTCCCTTAGGCCAGCTGATAACTACCAAATTGCATTCTTCATTTTCTCTTCTTCATGGAGAACTGCAGTATTGGAATTCTGTAACTGGAATTCAGTTTCTGAGGGCCAGTGAATAACTAATGGCTTGTGAATAACTAATGCCACATACGGCAGACTCACAATTTACTTGAATAAAGGGAAGAACATTTTAATGGTGGTCTTGCTGTATATGCAAGCACTGAGGCACTTTCTCTCACTTACTGTTTCAAGTCATATTTTGTATGAGTTATGCAGCCGCGCTATAGCTAGTAGAATTTTCCTCTTGAAGTAAGGAGCCACAGTCAAATATTTTAATGTATTAACTGTTTTCTGTTTTTACTATTATGTAACATGCACCCATGAGTGTCCAACCATAATTATGATGTAGCTTTTAACTGTGACACATGGAGATTCGCCTTTTCAATAACTCAGTCTCAGCCTCTAACTTTCCCATTTCTTTCCTGGAGTTTCTTTCCTGTATTTTTCCCCCCTTTCTGTCTCTTTTTCTCTTTATCTAGAAGATTCAGGTATTCTGTGGTAAACTCTCTTTTTGGTGGCTTGTGTGTTACACATATGGTAACGTTCTGCTTTGTAAATGCTGCAATATGATGACCAAAGTGTGTTTGTCACACTAATGGAATTACTGAGGCACATAAGGGACTTGCTTCATATTATTAGTCCCTTGACATTCATAGAATTTTATCACCCACCCATCCTGGAGGGGAAAAAACCCCAAAACCCCACTGTTGTCTTGATACAATTGCTTCTGTCAGATTGTCCAAAAGCCTGGCTATTGGGAAATTTCCTCATACTGCAGTATTATAGCTTAGTGAAACATTACTATACACAACCCATTAGTTAACACCTTGCACCATTCACCAAATATACTGAAATCTACATAGTTTCTGTTAAGCACATTTTGCCGACTGTCCTATGTATTAACAGAAAATATGAGCAATATATTGTGTGAAATGTGTACATTCTTAGTGACCATTCTTTTAGTGTATTGTGCTGGTTTGGATCCTTTTTCCCATCTTAAGTTTTATTGTCTCTTTCCTCTTTCTTATTTATTATGCATATTTATTTTGGTTATTGAGTTACCTTATTTGCTGCACCCGAGGGCTATAGATTCCATGGGGGAACTTGTCCTTGATGCAAGATGACACTTGATGAGATTCCACTGATCTCAGTCCATATTAATCTTTGCAACTACAAAAAATGCAACATTCTAAACCAGACCCAGGCCAGCATGTTTCTCTATGGGCAGATAGGATTCCTTGCTGCCATACTTAATACCAATGGGGATTTAGGTGCATCTGGCTGTCAAAAAGACATTTAAGCTATAATGTAACAATGCATTTCTAATATTAACTTCTTTGTTCATTTCTGTTTGCAAATGCTTCTTAAGCCCTATTTAAAAGGCCATGGTGGTTTGAAATCTATGCTATACTACCAGCAACTTTGAAATGGTCAGTCGTTCTGCCAGTGGTTCAGATCTAAATAAAATTAAAACATATTTTTAATTAAAAAAATTACAGTATAGATCGCTTGAAAAGATGGTGTTCTGTGCCACTCTAAACAAGGAAACCCACAAACAAAATATTGAACACTGAAAGCTCTTTTCAGTATTTCTTTAGTGTATGTTTTTTTTAAAAAAAAATGCATCCAGGAGAAAAGGAAAGTATTTCCCCAAATTATCAGAAACCATCTTTTCCCTTAGTCCTTCTGCTGACCAAAGAGTGCTTCAGTATTTTGCTGATCTGCATTGCCGGTACTTTCGTCCGCTGGCTTAATGCCACGATATGTCTTACTGGACACTCTGCAATCTAAACTGCCCCATTCAGTGTTGCAGCCACCCTTTTATACCGTCAACTTTGTATATTTTATGAACAATACGGTATAGCATTTCAATTTAATCCATGTGGCTATTTTATTTTATTAGATATTTAAGAACAAATGAGTATCTTTCACTTCTCTCCCCCCCAAAACATAAAAAAAAGAAATCTATTGCCTGCAAATTACGATACCTGTGTCTGTTTTGTGTGTAGCATTCTATGTTGTCTTCTGTGTCAAAATCCAGCACTTACAGTAACCTTCAAGTGTACTAGCTCCTTTGCTATTCACTGACTTGTTCTTAGAGTTAAATCCTCTGCTCATTTTTCTCATTCGTTTTGCTACCCCTTTCTTCTCTTCAGCTACTGTTGAGGCTATTGAGGCTGATGAAGGTAAATTGGCCAGACCCCTTTCTGTTGTTGTTACAACAGAGAAGGGCTCTGCTGGGTGTATTCATTTTTGCTGTAGCTTGTATAGAGTGTGTGGGTGTTGAGCTAACAATTGTGGCTCAGTATTAACCTAAGTTTACTTGCTTTAAAGGGGAAAGTGTTCCTTTTGTTGTTGGTGTTGTTTCTTAAAGTTGCAGCGATGTTCTGATCTGTGTCCATTAAGCTTAAAGTGCTGAATCAGTATTGCACAAGGATAAGAAAGCTTGCAACTCAAAGGGGGCATGGCAGCACTTTAGTAAAAGCCATTTGACAAACAAACACGTTTCCCTTAAGGGGATCAAACAGTTCCCCATGTCACCTTAAGATATATCTGAAAATTAAGAGAATGCTAAAGTTGAATGGGGTTCTCCCTTTGCTGAGGTCTCTAGTGAAAGTGATTTTTGAACGAGTCTTCACTGTAATTTAGCATATTTTAAAATGTCCCTTTAGGGGGAAAATATTAAAACAATGGGAGATGTTAGGAGGTTTTTTTCCCTGCAAGTTTTGGGAATTTTCTCTAATGTAGCTATTAAAACCAACACCATTTCAAATGACTACCAGCACAAATGAATTACTGTCGAAGATATTGAATGCAAAACTTCAAGCTGCCTTTCTCAGGGATCTGTTTGTTTCAGCTCTTAAAACAATTTTGCTAATTGTACAGTTAATAGATCTCCAAATGCATACTGAAATATTTCTATACATGATGATTAAATTAGCAATTCAAATTGTTTTGCAAGAAGACTCTCAAAAGTTCCCCTTTAAAACAAAACCAAAAAATTACTCAGTTGTATTTTGTTCTTGCCCCCCTAAAACATGAGTTTTTTTCCAAAAAAAAGAAGAAAAAAATCATTAGTCATTAGTTCTGTTGGCATGGAGTAAGACTGCCATTTTGGCCCTCCTATCTGTTTTTTGATCTTTTTGTTACAGGAGTGAACAAAATTCTTAGCAATAAGTAAGAGAAAATACAACTGCTTTCTAAATAGCAGTGAGTGAGCTGCTATTTATGTTGGAATTCTCTATTCCTGTTGGCAAATTCTACTCTGCAATGTGCATTCTTGTTGACAGTTTGGCTGTTTTTTTTCCTGTGATTTCTGTGACTGTGTTGTGTTTTTAGTATTACTTCTCAATGTAAACTGCTAATAATCATTGTCTGACCAGCAACTGCAGCAGAGCACATTCTTCAGCACAAAGGTGTATAAATATGTCTGCTTGACACCAAGATGTGCAGCCCATTTTGGGAAGATGCGTTGTTCAAGTTAAACTTCTTCTTGATCATTACATTGCACTGTAACCAAAGATTGATTGATTGATTGATCTGAAAAGCTATCGCCTTTGGGAAATCTAATAACAATTCTGTTTACATAAACAAGTGTTTACTAGGGGCCTGTGCAGGCCTTTGACGGAGTCTAGGTGTTCATACATCCAATCACAGCTGAACATCCTGCAAAATTAAACTGCCGTACACTTCACATTGCCATTCATTATACACCTACGTCAAAGGACTGGATCAAAATTGACAGCACTGTGGTGAATTTTTAAGAGGGCCGGGGTTGAATGTTCTGCTATGAGT